GAAAGGTCTGTCTACTTTGTTTTCTCCTTTTGGATTTTACTGTTGAGTATTAGGTCTTCATTAACAATATACAGAGCAATTATGTGAAACCAGTCAGAATGAATTGTAGGGGACCATATGTACTCTCAATTTATTAGAAATGAAGAAGGAAATTCATATTAGTGTTGACTAATGTGGAGTAATTATTTTAATTAACTTGAATCTGCAAACATATTGAACTGTATCATTTATTGAAGATGAGAAGTAGAGCAATTATGTTGATAAGGGCTAATAAGTTGGTCATTTTAATTGGGATTGAGGAAGCAAATCTCATACAAATTATTCTGCCTCAGAGTGATTGTTAGAAGAACTTAGCAATGTAAAGGGTTCATATTTTCTAATCTACTTATAGTATATGTGACTTGAAAAGCATCATAATATGCTACTTGATGTATTGATATCCTTGATATGTATAATTGGCCATATCAATAGTTACTGTTACTTGGACTGTTTCCAACCTTCTCCCCACCCACCCACAAAATGGACGTGCTGTCCCAAAATTTGTAGCATGTTTGAGCAGTTATAACATGTTAACAATTACTTCACCTGATTGTGTTGCCTGGATTTCCTTTTTTCCTTGGCTTGTTCTCAATCGTTGAGTCTAGGAGATATTATTGTGGATATGAAAAAAATTTAACTGACCATTGTGTCAAATACACAAGAACTTGTGAACTTACTCCAATTTATTTGTATCTTGAATCTCATTTATTAACATGTAACATGGATTTATGAAGGAAAAACAGGTTTGTCTTGTTTTTAATTTTTTTTTAGTTACTATTGAATAGTGGATATAAAAAAACATGTTGCAAACTTGTATATTGGTTATTGTGTATGTACTAATCTTTCTATCCCCGTCAATATACATACATCCCCACTACATATGATGAGTTATGTATGTATGTATGTTTATATTTGTGAGATGCTTTAAACTGCCTCTTGGCTTTTGTGAATGCAGCTTCTTCACTTGGTTCAGTGAAACCCAACAAAAGGATGAAGATATGGATGACATTCATGATGAGGTATAAAGTGCATTTTTTGTACATTTTGATCATAGGCTACCTGCAAAAATTGCAAGAATAATATTTGTGTACATCCCTTTTAACCCAATCATTTATGCTTGTGCAGGTTGCTGAGTTAATCAGGGAGGACTTATGGCCCGACCCTCTCTCTTACTTCAATAATGTTAGTTCCTCGTCCTCTAGTCATTTTCCCCAATTTATTTGTGAAGGTTATTTACACGTGTAACACTTTAGTGTATTGTCTACTTCACATTTGCAGCAGGAAGCTGATGATGAAGAATTTGAGGGTGATGATGAGGTAAATGAAGATCATTGATTGTTAAATATTTGAGATTTTTGTAGACTATGAAAACACATTGGTCCTCTGAGTCAAAAACAGTTCAGTTGGCATGAGTTGCTTAGTTTTCATGCATATATAAATTTGTCTCAGTTCTTGTCTTATTTTATGAACTTGGTACTGGTAATAGAAACCCTGGAATTAGGATGGAATATATTACTCTGTAGTTGTGAACTGGAAGTTTGCTGTTTTGGATGTCTATCTCCGTAAGGGTGTTTGGTAGGATGGAATTGTAATTCCACCTTCCAATCCTACCGAACTCCATGGAATTTCAATTCCTAGGGTGTGGGTGTTTGATTATTTATGTCCTGATTGTGCAGGAGAAGGGCAGTGATGGGTCTGAGGATGATGAAGAACAAGATGGCGGTGATGATGACGATGAGGATGGTGATGAAGATGACGACTAACTGTTTCTACCATGTGCTTTTTAGTTTATGAGTTATCCTCACTTTTGTTTTTTTGTTGGTACTGTGACTGTATGTAATAGGGTGTTGAATCTTCTGGAGAACCAACCAAAACTGAAAATGACCGGGATTTTTTTTTTTATTTTTTTTTCAGCTTCTATAGGCATCTAATTCCTTAGCTGTGTGCTGAATATTCTCTTTTGCCATCCTTTGTTCTAAGATGAGAATTACTTCAATCTTGTGACAAATGCTCAATGCGCTGTGTGCTTTAGTTTTACTGGTATGTGTTTAGTTCTATTAAGAAGTTGAGGAGAAATTATTTAGTTCTTTATGATTTAGTTTTGTATTCATCTATCCAGTTTATAAATCAGTTATCTTTTGTGTTGGCGGTGCATCGCTATGCGTTGGGTTGTGCAACCATATGGAGAATGAATTGCAGAGGGCTTCTCCAGTCGTGGCGGTACCCAGCAAGTGATTTGCAGAGGGCACACGACTGGAGAGGCGGTCGACGAGGATGATTCGGAGAGGCAATTTTAGACCTATTTTAATCGGAAACCAGGTTATAAAAACAAATAATCAGGATCGTCTATTAGGGATAACATTGGGTCGGGGAGGGTTACATCCATCATTCGACCCACCCCTACCTCCAATCCGCATCGGGTGGACTTTTTCTGGACCCATTTCCACGGGTGCGGGTGCTCACGGGTACCCATTACTTATCATCTTATTATGTTTTTTTAAAAAATAATATTTAAAATTCTTTACACATAATAAAAAAAATAAAATCCATTAGTGATACTAAAACATAAATAATGAAAATATTTAAATATAATAACTAAATTGTTAATTTTTAAAAATAAACTTAGTAGTTTTGATATAAAAAATAGTGAAAAGATACACGAGTTATATAAACTTTTATAAATAACTACATACTAGTACTTATTTTACTATTATATATATATATATATATATATATATATATATATATATATACACACAGACATACACATGGTGGGTTGGATGAGGTTCTAGGCGGGTCTTGTACATAGAACCCGAATTCAACCCCTGCGAATTTGCTTTTTTAAGACCTACCCCTGACCCACCAGTGGCCATCACCCATCATCATTCAAATCCATGTGGAGTAGATTCGAGTGAATATCAAGAGATCGAATTGAAATTGCCATCTCTTACTATTAATCTAAATGAAGGGCCCAAATCAGTATACATGTTCACATATAAGAAGATGTTCTCATACACATACACACACGAATACTTAATTGCCTATCTTGGTCCGGGTAACTTATCTTGGGCCCATTGTCGATTTGCGTCCCATGTCATCTTTCTTGGGCTTTGAGCTAATGGCTATTGGACTTTGAGTCTCCATTATTCGGCCATTTCTAATATCTCCATCATAGCTCTCATTGTTTGAGTTGTGAGGATTCGCCAACGAGATTGACTAACCACTCTAGGCAAATTATATCGTGCACTGGCGCACAATGCACAATGCATAATGCATTGTGTGCCCTGCCCCAAATTATATCTTCAATTTTTGTTTGTACTCCCTAAGTCACAAACCAAGTTGTCATAGTACTTTGACACAAGACCCTCATCTTTACATACTCCCAAAACAACAAAGGAAGAATGTAAAGATTCAACTTGCTCATTCTTCATAACTATCTTAAACAGAAGAGACACTGCAGTAAGTGAATCCAATTCAGGAGGAATTACATCAGTATCCTGCATTTAAATAGAAAATAATGTTTATTAAATAAATGATATAATACACATAAAAATCAATCAACAGTAATTGTGATATAAAAATTACCTCAATTTACTTATCTCTAAGGGTTGAAGCTGCAATACCAACCAACTCAAAATACTCACGGCAAAATTGTACCACAAAATTGTACCCTTCCACAACTCCTTCTCATATGAAAAAATTAGGTCGGGAGTTCAAACCCCCTCTCATATGAAAAAATCAATCTGGTCAGGAGTCAGTTAGCACTCTGCCTCTTAATTGAGCTGAATGTTTATTTTCAAAGATTCATTATTTATGTATTGAATTATCAAATAATAAACTTTTAATACGCATATAATAAGCTTTTAGTATATTAAAAATGAACATTTATTCATGATTACATGATAATAATTTGCCCTTACCATTCTTGTTTAGCTTGCTTTAATTTATACTGTTTTTTCCTGTGTTTTCTTTTGGGCTTAATGGTTGTTTTAAAAATGGTTTTTGTCAGCAGATGTTATCCTTACTAATTCTTTATTCTTCTTTGAAAAAGCCTTGTCCCTCCTTTAGCATTATTTTTTCCCCAAAATCTTGCAATTAGTACTAGTATATTATGATTCTGCAAATTAAAGAACAACCAACAAGCAGCTTGGTTCCAAACGATTCCCATTTTTTATTCCAATGAATCACAGATAATGATTCACTCAGTAACATATATTTGATGAGATCCGAGAGTCCCAAAGTTTTTGTTCTCTTGTCATAAACATCACTAAACAATTGATGCTAGTCCGCAGGTAGTGTTTTTTTGTATGGACTTACTGTTGTTTTATAAAGCTGTTTGGATCAAGCGCTTACCACTTATAAATAGAGTTGTTTGGATCAAGCGTTTACCACTTACAAATAGAGCTATTTGGATTAAGTGCTTACTTCTTCCGTCAAAAGTTATAGTTAGTAGCGAATGCGTAACTTTATTTCTTTGTACTGTCATACATTTTCAAGACACTGGGTGCCCTTTAAATCCTTTATCGACATCAGCCCAACAATCCTAGAGTCACCGGGTGCTAAACTTGGCCTTTACCGGCCTCTGCCCAACAATCCCACTATTGTTTTATACAGCTGTTAGGATCAAACGCTTACCACTTACGCCAAAAGTTATAGCTGTTTCTTATATCGTCATACATTTTCGAGACACTGGCCTCTAACCAGCTCGCGTGGTTCACCGGTTCCACCGAAAACTCTCGTTTGTTGAAGCGGAGCATAGTGCGCTTTAGGCGCCGAGTGACTCTTTAAGCCTTTTACCGGCCTCTGTCCAACAATTTCACAACCATCAAGTGCTAATAAACTTGGCCTTTACTGCCCTCAGCCCAACAAGAGTGTATATATATACACAAGGGGATATGATATATCTATATATCTAGCAAACTTACTAATAAGCTAGCAAGAGTATATATATATACACAAGGGGATATGATATATCTATATATCTAGCAAACTTACTAATAAGCTAGCTTGAGCTTGATGGCTACCTGGGAGATACCAGTTGTTGATCTTTCTCCATTTTTGAGGCCTGGGGATGAAGATGGGAAGAGAGAGGTGATAGAAGAGATTGAGAAAGCTTGTTGTGAGTGTGGGTGTTTCCAGATCCTCAACCATGGGGTACCCCTTGAGGTGATGAGAAGAGCACTCAAAGTTTCTAAAAACTTTTTTGAGTCCCCAGTTGAAGAGAAGCTCAAATGCAGTCCCCTTCAAGCTGCTGTGCCTTTCCCTGTGGGATATAACAGGAAGCCCAATCCCTTGTATGAATTTGCAGAGTATTTTGTGATGCTTCGCCCTGGATCAACCTACAATGTCACCCTTCCCAATCATCAAGATTTCAGGTACTTGGATAAATTTATAATTTGAGTTTTATCCTCTTTGCATTGTGTAAATTGTTCTATTATTTTCTTCTATACTTTTAATGTGTTGACTGATCATTAAGTTTAGGAAATACCCTTTCTAAAATTTTGAGTTAATTCCATTTTTGTCTTAGATTTATAGGTGACACTTTACTTTTAGTGATTTAATTTCTTTCAAAACATCTCTTATTGGTCATATTATTATTGTGGGGCAAATTATGCTTTGCAACCGTGTGCACCATGCATGGTGCACACGGTTGCAAAAACGACGTCGTTTTGACTAAAAAACGCGAGTCCCACTAAAAAAAAATCAGTTTTGATTCTCGGTAACAGCATTATATTGTGCATAATTTGAACTATATATCCAGAATGAATGAACTAAATATCCAGAATGAATGAACTAAATTATCCAGTATGAATGAAAAAAAAAACCAGTTTCAATTTCCGTCTAAATATCCAGAATGAATGAGCTAAAAATCCATAATGAATAAACTATATAGTTTAAATTATGCGATGACAAGAATCGAAACTGATTTTTTTTTTCTTTTTTAAGTGGGACGAGTGTTTTTAGTCAAAACGACGTCGTTTTTGCAACCGTGTGCACCATGCACGATGCACACGGTTGCACAACATAACGATTGTTATTGTGGTATAACCATTTTTGGTCATCCGTCAAGAAACATGTTTATATGACATTAAACACGAGGGCATTTCGATCAATTTGGTGTTTGATGATTTTTTTGACCAATTAAGTCTCTCAACTTTAAAAGTCTTAACCGATTTAGTCATCCGCTTGTTTTGCCGTTAGACATCTGTTAACTCGGAATCAATTGATAATTTTACTATAATAAAGGTACCATCTTAGTAAATAATTTTTCAAAAAAAATGGTGCATGTGATAATCACTTGAATACCCGTAATTTAATCCATATAGCATTGTCCATACTCCACTCATGAAAATTCTTACCTATTTAACATGCCTCGTTATATCGTGCACTAGGGCGCACAATGCATTGTGTGCCTCGATAAAAAAACGACGTCGACTTTATAAATTGTGTGGGGAGTTGACGCGACGGACACTGTTCCGTCCGTCCAATCCCGTTATAGTTTTTTTTATTATTATTTTTTTAACACTTGTGTTTATGTGTATTCTGTTAAGAGTTTATGTGTATTATGTTAAGAGTTTCTGTGTATTATGTTAAAAGCTTGTGTATTATGTTAAGAGTTTATGTGTACTATGTATTATGTTAGATTATGTGTATTATGTTAGGAGTTTATGCGTATTCTATTATACAATTCTGTACATCCGAAATAAAGATTTTTTTTTTTAATTTTTAGAAATTAACAACAGAAACAAAAAACGACATCGTTTTAATTAGGGTGCACAATATATTATGCACCCTGGTGCACGATATAATTTGCCATTTAACATGCACTTATATGGATATGGATAGATCAAGCTCTTTTGTTCAGCCCACTAAATTTTAGTGACAAAAGACAAATTTTGGGCTCCATATTTTATTAGCTCCTAGTCGGCCTAACGTTCTTTTTAAAATTATTATTTGTATCATATATCATATATACGTTTAAAAAATTACACAAGATCGACAAAATCACAATCAGAAATTGAATGCGAAGTCATGGTACACTTGTTACAAATGTAGAGTATAGGTCGGCCGGCGTGAACGGAGATTAATTTGAGTATGGTACGGGCTTAAAGTAAGGGTCTGCTCAAGACACCTCGTAGTCTAACAAAAAAAAAAAAAATATAGACTATAGGCAACCCAGAGTTATACCATGGATCAGGGTCCATCTTGCAAGGTGAATCCTGGTCCTAAACAATGTATAAATTGTGTATTTTTAGTATTTGAATTGTGAAATTCTAGAATATAAATTGTGTTTCTAATTCAAAACTCAACAAATATAGAAGAGATTTGTGAATACAATACATGGTTATCAAATTCTAATATGTTAATATTGTGTAACTACAGTATTTGAAAGGAACTTTTGAATACAAAACAAGGTAATCAATTATATATATATTAACATTGTATGCCAGTAATATACAAATTCTGAATTTTTAAAAGATAAATTGTGAATATTTAGTATGTAAATTGTGAACATTTAGACTCGAATCCACATTACAAGGTGGACCTGAGTCCAAAGAATAATTCATCAATGAATTTTGGGGGTTGTTTTTGCACAGGAAAAAAATTTGAGGGTGAGTTTTTTACACGTAATCGATTTTTATTACTGCAAATGTAAACTTTTTGTGGATGAAAAAAAAAAAAAAACAGCTCAAATGCTGCGCCCATCTGGATGCCTAAGTTAATTTTTATTTTATTTTTTACTCTTGTTTCAACAATTTTTTTTCCTCTTTTCTTTCCTACTTGTCATTGCAAAAACCCAAAAAAAAAAAAAAAACTGGCCCTAAAATCTTTGCTCTTACTTAAACTTAATTAATATATATCTTATGATGCTTTAACTTGTTGCAATAATTGATTCAGTCTTTAATTAACATTGTTTCATATACTTGTAGAGAAGTGACAGAAGAACTATTCAATGAGTTTGTGAAGGTTGGAATATTGCTGCAAACAATCCTGGGCAAATGCCTTGGTCTCCCCCCAAACACACTAGAACAAATTAATAACAGTAGAGATTCTGATGTTATGTCAGTCTTATATTATCTAGCTGCAACTGAGAATGAAAAGATTGGATTAACAGCACACAAAGATGTAGGGTGCATTACAATTCTGTTTCAAGATGAAGTGGGAGGGCTCGAGGTTGAAAACAATGGAGTATGGACTCCTGTCCCCCCTCTCAAAGATGCACTAGTTGTCAACCTTGGCATTGTTCTTCAGGTGATTTTTTTTCTTTCTTTAGTTCTCAAAATATAGTGATTGAATATGCATTAGTTAGGGATGACAATTTCAATCTGTCCCTGCGGATATCTATTTGAATCTGTCTTGATAGTCGATCGGGTTTTTTTTTGGGGTAATAGAGGGTGGTGGGTTGAGTGGGTCTTAAACAATTAAATCCACCGTCGATTGGGTTAGATTCTGATTCTATGTACAAAACTCGCATAGAATTCCACCCGATCCAACATGTATATGTAATTAATTATAAAAGTTTTTATAACTTGTGCTACCTAGCTTTTTGCTATTTTTATTTGTAAACTACTAAGTTTTTTTTTTTAATTAACAATTTAATTATTATATTTGAATATTTTATGTTTTAGTATAATTAATAAATTTTATTATATGTAAGTAATTTAAATATTATTTAAAAATAATAAGATAATAAATGGTGGATACCTGTAGTGGGAGCTTGCACCTGGTGGGGCAGGGGTGAATTTTGAAAAAGTTCACTCGATACGGGTCAAAAGTAGGGGTGGGTGGAGAAAGTATAAAGTGGGTCAAGTGATAGGATGACTGAATGTAGCCCTACTCAACTCACCCCAACCCATTGTCATTCCTAATATGTATACATTGTATTATAATAAAAATTATTTAAAAAATATCTCTAATACAACCCCGATACACACACCCTGGAGATTTGATCAATATACTTGTAAGTTGTAACTCAATTTTATTCTAATTTATTTTTTTTATGTGATTTGACAAGATTCTTACAAACGAGAAGTTTAAGAGCCCAAGTCACCGCGTAATGAGACCAAATGGGAGGTCAAGAAACTCATTTTCTTTCTTCTTCAATGTGTCCGGGGCAACAGTGCTTGAACCATTGCCGGAATTCACCAAAGAGATAGGAGAAAAGGCCAGGTACAAACGTTTTGTGTACAAAGAATTCATACAAAAGCGAAATGAACATAGGGCTAAACGTACTTTGGATCAGCAACAAGGTGGTGATGATAGTGGTTTGTCCTACTTTTCACTCAATTCTGATCTTAGGGAAATGGATTGAAACTTGTAACCATGTGCCATAGATTTTGATGGTTTAAAGGTTTGTTATTTCTTAAGCTTTTCATTAAGGTTAGGAATTATCTTTAAGTTTAAAAATTTTTGGTGGATGGTAATCAATTGCTTACAAAAATGTAGTACTTTTAAATAAAAGTGAGATATTTGTTTAATTTGACTCATTATAATATTTAATTAAACTAACAATGACTGAGTGCACCTCAATGCATGACAACTATTAAATTTTTACTTAGAGCAAATATATATCATAACCAATTACATGCATGCAAAATTGTTTTCACTACAACGCTAACTCATTTGATTAGGAGAGTTTAACTTTTTGGTAATATAGTTAACTTATCAGTAAATTTTCGCTTATTTGACTACTATTAACTATTTGACTTGGTTAAACAATCAATATGAATGTTTGATTAATTAGCTTTTTGTAACAGCTTATTGCTCTAATTGCTAAAATTTAAAAGCAACTTCCGACAAGCTTTTTGAGAAAGTAATTTTATGTGTAATCAGCCATGAGCTAACATCTAATTTACCAAACACTCTTCTACAATCAGCTAATGATATCAACTAGTCAAACCCACTAACTCAATCATCTAACAACTAATTACCAAACACCCCCTTTAGAGATCTCATCAAGTCAAACAATCTATCATATTAACATATTTAAAGAAAGATATTAGTTTATAAAAAAAAAAAATAACATCGTTAAAGGAAAATATTTAAACATATGTAAAGTGAAAATTTAATTTATTTCAATGATAGTGTTCACTATTTTCTCGATCTTGTTTGTGGCTCAATCTTAAAGAATAGTGGTCTTTATTTTTCTCTGCAATATGGCGTCAGCAATGTTAGTTGGAGCACTTTATATTAGTGGCTGTTGGTTGCATGACTCGGGATAGTCACTCGGCAGGCGAACATAATCAATTTGAGTAAATAAAATAGAAATAATGGAAAGAAAAAAAAGAAAAATAGATGCAATATTTTTACGTGAAAATTGAAAGATAAAAATTATGGGCCTTTTTGGGCGGTGTCAAGTTGAAATTCACTATTTTTATACGTATTTTGTACATATATCATGGTAGAGCTCTCTAGAGAAAAAAGGGAACCCCTCTTCACTTTAGCTTTTATAGTATAGTAGAATGAGTAGTGTAAGCTTCCTAAAATTAATGGGGGTTTTAATGGGATTTTAATGAAATTTTATAGGTAGTTAATCGGTTTTATGGGTGATCATGGGTGTTTTTTTTTTTTTTTTTTTTTTTTTTTTTTTATGAGTAATAATTTGGGTAACCAATGGGTAATTAAGGCGTAATTATTTGAGGGTTATGGAGAGGTGACTAAAGAGTCGATTGGTCACGTCCGGAATGTTGATTGCCGAGTCTGAGTGTCATACCCGACTGCTTGCTAAATGGTACGGTACTGATCAGGCGATCAGGAACCCATGTTGGGTATCCATCCGTGGCAAATTAGCTTACTTAATTTGACTTCATCATCTATCATATCTTTTATAATAATTGGTGCGTAGTGCTTCTGTGCTTGTTGTTGTTGTTGTTGTTAGCAACAGCCAAAAAATTAAAAGCATAATGATAAACAAATAGTCAAGACAGAAAAACTTAACTGCAAGTCCCAGTACAAAATCAACAAAAAATCAATAAAACCACAACCTTCTTCTCAAGACAATTGTTGTTGTTGTTGTTATTATTTCAGATTTGTGTCTAGAATAGTACTATACTTTCCTGTTTTTGTGAATTGTGATAGACATGCAACTGTGCAAGTATTAAATAAGCTTAAATACTTTACAGATAGTAATTAGTAGCCATTGCATGCATGATTTCACCTTAATAATAATGATGTCGACGTACCCACAAATTGCTTTCGATTCCTTAAAGGTATCAAAAGTCTAAAATCTCAGAAACATTGAATCTGATCTTAGTATATGTCCAAACCTAGTTTTGATGGATTCATCAAAAGTGAAAATGTTTTAACTAATGATTCAAACTCTCCATGTACTTGATTAATTAGTTCAAATCTGAAGTTCATTGATTTAGGTGAGAATATCATTATACACTTTATTAATTTTTTTAAATAGACATCCACATATTAATAAAACAAAAACCTTAACACGATGAGTATTGGCTAAGAATTATAATTATTTCTTCAAATATATTTATAAAGAGATTAATATGTTTGAATAATAATTCGCTTTAATCACTTACCCCTTCAACTTCATATCCTTAACAATCATTCATTCACATTATATTCACCCTTTATTATTAAAAGCTTCATTCAATTGATGTGCAGGCAGCCACATCCTATATATGTTATTTTTAATTTTTCCTTTTATCTCCATGCATGTATCGAAAAAATAGGCATATGGATATCATTGAAATTAAAAATCTATTATTATTATTATTATTATTATTATTATTATTATTATAATATATTTTTTGAACTTCTATAATGATGAATGATACAAATATCGTTTGTATTAAGTACAACCATGCATCGAGACTTGTCACAAACTAGCTTGTTCCCATAGAATTATTTGATATAACCAATTATATCTATGCACTTGTATTTGATATAAAAGCCACCAATGTTAATCAGCCGGATCTATAGGCGACGCATTACTTGGTAGGAGGAAGATCCCTGGAGACCTTCCGGACACGGTACAGGACGCCAATAAGTGACAGCGACTCACCTCCTACCGGCCGACGCTTCCCCAGGCAAACTCTCAGAAGTGAAGCGATCGGGCGACCAACTACGGTGGTCGGCGTGTCCCCGACCGAACACCCCCACAGGGTTCGATTGGGCGACCAGGCCACACGGGCGGTGCGTCCCCGACCACGTGCCTTTCCGGGATCCGGCCGGGCGACTAGGCTTTGCGGATAGGGTGCCGTTGACTAGGGGCGAGCGCCCAGGAAGGCGCCCCCGCGCAGTCCGGACCATTCATGACCGAGTGCACACCCAGAGACGCGTATCAGCGGATCCTGCGGAAGCAATCTTTGCTCATTAGGCAATTTTCTTAGTTAATTCAGACGGTAAAGGAAGTTAGTTAGCGGTTGCATCAGCCTTTATGTCAGCCCTACCTCTTTGACTCGGCTAAAACGCCAGCCCTACTTACCATGTAAACCCCACATATATGTATAAATATCCCCTGGGATTATCATGTATCGAATCGGCATTTTGAAGGCAAAACCCTAGAGAAATAATATCACATTATTCTCTCTTTATTACTTTATCTTTATTTTCACTATCTCGCATAAAGATCTTTATTCTTTTTTTGGTAGTGTTGGCCTGCCGGGCAGCCATCGAGGCGGTGAAAACCAACACAAACATTATTAGAATTTGAATGGTAATGAAAATCAAATCCTTGGTAATAGTGACGAGTTTATGTAGGAAGAGTTTCTTTGTTTGGTAGTAAATAAGAGTTGAAATCAAAATAAATAAATAAATAAATAAATATATATATATATATATATATGTGTGTGTGTGTGTGTGTGTGTGTGTGTGTGTGTGTGTGTGTGTGTGTTCAAAATTCCATATTTAACGCATGGACAGTGACCTTTTTTATTATTATTTTTATTTTTTTATTCCATTGTTCAAAAGTAATTGATGATGAGAAGAGTAATGAATTTTATTATTACTAAAAGATTTGAATTTAATAGTATGATAACAAAAAATAGACAAACATGATAATGAGTATCAGATTCTATACTGAGGTACAAAAGTCCCCAACTAAAAAGCAATCTTACTATTTTTGTTATTGTTGTTGTAATTTAAAGATGTATTGTATCTCATCTAAAAATTGATAGTTGCTCCTTGTGCGGGTTGATTACTTTTCGATTGGTCACACAACACGTAATTACAATCTCTTTTATCAGATATCATGGAATCTTCATGAACTTTTGTCTAGATCTAACTCTACAAAATATAAAATGATAATGAGATTACACATTTATATTTTATATTATATAATGTTAAACATTAATAGGCTCCCAATGGGATTAAACAAAGAAATTTAACCACAACTATTAAAACCAAATATAAACATCCTAATATATTAATAACAAATATAAAGAGATTTTTTTTAATGAACATATGGCCCAGTTTGGTAAAAAATTGGCCTATAGGCCAATTTTAGCTTATTTGATCACTATTAATTGTTTGATTTAGTTAAAATATCAATATAAATGTTTGGTTAATTAGTTTTTTGCAACTCCAAAAGGCTAAAATTAAAAAAGCTACTCTTAGCAACTTTTTCAATTAGCTTTTTGAAAAAAGAAATTATACCAAACAGCTATCAGCAAACAGCTAATTTACCAAACACTTTTCTACAATCAGTTAATGTTATCAACTATTTATACTCTCTAATTAACACAATCAGCTAACAGCAAACAGCTATCAGCTAATAGCCATTTTACCAAACAGGGCCTATAATAAAATATATTACTTCTAATAGTATAGAAAACATACTCAGGCAAATTATATCGTGGACCGCGATCCACAATGCATTGTGATCTAGGCATTAAATATGCATTGCAGTTTCATTTCAACACAATTACAGTATCATTTTGATATAACTACAGTTTTGCTGGACAATATACACTTAAATATGTGAAATTGTTATTCAGTTTCATTTTATATACCCTACAATTTCATTTCAACAAAACTAAAGTTTCATTTCAATTCAATTGCAGTTTCATTTGATAATGTAATAAAAATAATACGTGAGACAGTGTCAGTTTAGATACATTATAATGTCTATCATTTTGGACTATGGGTCCATGGTCTACAGTATAATTGCTGACATACTCAAGGGTCTTAGCCTCTTAGGAAGCTTGTCTAGTGGGCCAAGGGAAGCGGAGGTGTAATTGGGTCCATATAGTTATAAGTTATTTATTGTATCGCAACCCAAAAGAGTCTCCTTCGGCCGAACAAAACTATTACCGCAAATTATGCTGTGCAATCGAATGCACCACGCGCATGGTGCATTCGGTCCAAAATGACATTGTTTTAGTTAAAAAAACACGCGTCCCACTTAAAAGAGAAATCAAATTTGATTCTCGGCAATAACATTTTTATAT